TTGAAAATCTTTCTCGAATAAATTAGCAAGTCTTCAAGGAATAGGAGCTTTACATCCAATGCAGCTTCAAATTTGAACATTTTTTTGAACAGCTGCCATATGGCCTTCAAGTAAATTTCGAAAATTTCACGCATAGTAAAGTTGACTTGCCAAAATTCTTTTAAGTCCTCACGATATTCGTGCCGGTGTTGGCTGTCAGCTAGGCTCAGGCATTGTAAAAGAGGGATGCTGGGCGACCGTTTCGACCAATGAGGCCGCCTTGGTCAGTGTTAACCTGTTGACGACGATGTGGACCACCGGTGGCCCACTCCTCTTGAAGAGTCGTATTATTGTGGGTCTAATATCTCTTTCACATACTAGTATTTCTTCCAGTTTTTTTGCACTCTTGGGACCTGTAGGCTCCGCCGTTCAAGAAAATGTTCATAATTGTTTACAAAAAACCTTGCATTTCGTAGATAACCACAAAACCTTCCCACGCCGAAAGTGCTGTGCAAAATCGCGTCGTTCCGTCACGCAAAAATTAGGCGTCGTCGCCAATGGGTTAAACACGAAGTTTTAAAAGTTTTGAAAGCCATGAATTTCAATTTTTCGACTACTGTAACCGTGACATCAGTATTTCCGCGTCCATTCGTCGCATTTCAAAGGTCACACACCTCTAGCAGACTTCTCATAAACTCTGCTGGCTCATTTCCATTCCCTTCTGCTGCCATTTTCATTTCTGGCTTCTTCTAGAGCTCATTAGCCGCGTTTACAAAATGAAGCTGCATAATTAGTACAAGGCAGGCTGCATCAATTTGGCGAATGCGGGAGCGGAAAAATGCATGTTGCTTGACTGGACCTCAGCATCTTATTTTCTATGGGAGTGCTAGTGAAGAGTTCACTTCTCATAGAACTTTGTGCTAATTGCAAGACTTCTACGTTTCAGAGAAGGATTTCTGCACGTGTATCCTGCAAACCTAGATGAGTGTCTCATATCTCCTTTGCATTCCACTTTACCAAAAAGAGTTGCTCTATTTTATGTGGAGTCATAAATCGCAGCAAGTGCCTGCAGAATTTCTCTGACATTTGCTTTTCCGTCATTGACACTAGTCAGCGCTGGAACAGTCTTGGCTGGCGGTTACGCCCCCATCAAAGTTTGAGCGCAGAGTGAGAAATGCTGCGTGAAAGTTTTTGTCAAAGCAGGAAGTAAGTCATACTAATTGTCTGTGTCTGTCTGGAGTTGCCGAAATGCACAAAAAACCAAGGCCCTTTTTTATCTGGTTCACACTTCCGCTTATAGTCTAGAATGTTGGTTAAGGAATGAGGAAGAGTGGCTGAGAGGCCTATAGACGTCATTTGACGATAAAAGCGTGGTTTTTTTTCTTTCTAACAGGATCCTGGAGGGTCTTGTTCCATGTACTTGTAAATTGCGTCTGTGCTTCAGCTCTTAGTGTGTTTCACTGAGTGAAGAAGGGCTCGTGCGTACTCCAAAGTATGTCATTAAGTAAACCTTAAAGGCAGCGTCCAGGCAAATCTGGACCTATGGGGATTTTGTTAGAAAGTTATTATGGGACCCTGACTAAGGCACGGTCCAAGCGGCAGCGCAAATCACTAACGGTTGAGATATACGCCTCCAAACTGGGCCCCAAGATCGTATTATCGGACGACTTGCATCGTCATGCTTTTGCGCGAGGACCCACGCGAATAATGTGTCGCACCATGAATCCATGCAAAATACGATCCTGGGTCCAATCTGGAGACGAATAGCACAAGTTATTAGAACACCATCTGGACTGCCGGTTGGGCAGTGTCTAGTTAGGGTCCCAAAATTACTGTTCACATGAGATCCCCATATGTCCAGGCCTCGACGCTGCCTCCAAGCATGCATATAACCCGGCCTTACCCATCCTGGTCCGCTGCACTCGGCCCTCTTCCTTTTCAGAACTTCGTTGGGCAGTGATCATCGTTCTGCACTTTTTTGCGAGTATTTTACGAATCTTCGAAATATGTAAAGGTCAAGTGTACGAAAGCGCAAAGATTACTTGCGTGAAAGGGCAAATATTTGCAAGAAGTAAAATGCTGCCCTTATGTGGAGTAGACATGTGATTCTTGAAATGCTGCTGTTTTGAGCCATTACTCCCAATTTCTGCAAGACTCATAGGGTCTCATCCATCCTCTTTTTGTGCTGAAGCTAAAAAAAACTGTCTGGCATGCTAAGAACTCGTGCTTGAGTCATACGACTCGAAAAAAAAGAGCTTAGCAGTATATAACTCAGTATCACGGTTTTTCTTCAACATTAAGGTTGATATTTCATACAACAGAAGGTTGATTTCGAAGTCTTGTGACTGTCTTTGCAATAGCGTTGGTCATGCAGTGATTAAGCACTTGTATAACGGAGTTGATATCTATACGCGTCGCAACCGCGTTGCGACAGCACTTCTGCATATGTATTTTGGATCGAGTTTAGAGTAACATGGAGTTTGAGTAGTTAGTGGATAAAAATCAGTTACTGCATTGATACCTACGCCGGGGACAAATGCAAAGTTTGTTTTTTCTGCTTTGGCTGAGAAAATCGGCTACATGTTGCTTATCTTCTTTTAGGGTCTCATGCGCGTTCTTTGTAGTTTGCGTTCTCTGTTCTTTTGTTTTGGCCAAGAATTCAGCAGATATTAATCCTGGCATAGTAAGAACTAGTCCTTGCCTAATCAAATCAACTGTTTGTATCGAATGAGTTATGACGCCCGAAAACAAAAATATTGTAGTTACTGTAGCGATTGTCCTATGTAAAGTAATCCAGACAAATTAACATCAACATAGAATTTTTTGAGGTAAATGACTAACCTGGAGCAGTTGTGAAAAACATCTTAATACCGGAGAATTTGGAAACAACACGTAAGGATGGGAATAAAGGCCCTGACTAGACCAGCAGTCAGGCCAACCGACTTAGATTCTATCACAATTTTCATTTGTAGCTGATTTTCGTCGAAAATCCATATGATGTCACTGACACTGACACGAACGTCATAACTGCGTGTTTCTGTCATTGACATCGTTCCTGTCATCATCGTCATCGTTTCATGTGCGAACACCCCCCTGGCGCTGTCACGTCCCTTCATCTCATCGCTTGCTCGTCGCTCTGTCCTTATCCGGTTGTTTTCTAGCGGACTTAGTCGGGTCGGTATTTCCAATGTCGAATTAGATCGCGAGACTTGAGTTTCTTCCGCGTTCAGTGAACGAGCGAGCATAAGATAGCTTGTAGGAGCGAAAAATGCAATTGCAACTGCCTCAAGTCAGCTGTTTTCCAATGCTCTCGCAAAAAATCCTCACGTGATATGAAAAAATAAAATGAGAATGTTGTTGGGGTTCAACGAGGGCAAATTTATCATGCTTTTATCTGCGTCCTTTTTGCAGCGATTGGACACAAATCTATCCAAAGTAAGAAAAAGTGGTTTGATTTTGTCGCTCAAGTTTCTTTGAATGCTGAATATACGAGCAATATTTAATTCAAATCTTTTACCAAGATAACAACAATGAAACGGTATCAGCATCTAAAATGGTTTACAATCTTCATAAAGTCAAATTTCTTTTTTTGCAGGGGAAAGAAGGATGTGCAGAATTATCAAATAAAATTTTCTCGACATCTAAATTACTCTCTTGTGACCCCCTCAGTAAAACCTTGAAAAGTTCTGGGAAAGCATTAGAATCGAATTGCTCTGCCATCGTCCCCAGGGACCGAGTACTTCTCTAATTCCTCTCTAGTTCCAATTTGCCTATCGCTATCAGCCTTGATGAATACTGCAGAAGGGTGAGAAAGGACAACAGAGTAATTGCCTCAATGATCGGCGCTCGCATTGCATCATGGTAGGGTAGATAAGGATTTGCATCATGCATTGTAGTTAGGTATGTCCCTGATAACCGTTCTTTTTCCTTGGCAGCATTCTTTCCCGGGGATTAGTGATTGCGTCAGTTTGTGGTTCATTCTTCTAATCAATATTCTTTGAGGGAGCTAGGAAAAAATGTTTGGTCGTGACCTCTGATTATTACTTTTTTGCAAACGCCCCTCGTTACACATTTTTTTCTATGCAGCACTATCAGACCCCCATGTTGATTATATTTTATAAGTCTTTGTACTACGGTGCGATAAGAACTTCCCCGATGTGTGTATAGTAGCGAAAACAGTCACATGTTGACCATTTTAACACTTTGTACTCTGTGTGGTTGGTGCAAGGGCGTATCAGTCCGCTTCGTGTGCAAATGTGCGCTTGATAAATAGCCTCCTTGATATCAGCAGCTGGTGTGTGCAAAAAAGCGTGTCTTCAGCTGTAGTTCACGTGAAAATGCACAGAGTACATTTTGGTTGGATGCCAATTAAGAACACATGACCGAAGACTCAGTTAAGCACTGAGCGAACGCCTTCGGCTTCATACGATAGAGCAGCTGGACTTTCTTCGTAGTTAGAAAATATCCACTTTTGATCTTTACGTTATTGGGCTATTGCCGTGTTGTCTTATATTTTGTATCTTTCCATATTCAGCACCTTCTACTTTCCTTCCTTGTTTATTTACTCCATCTTCCCCACTTACGCATGCCACATTGATCTATCATCTATCGTGTTGGTTCTTTGCTCTCCCCGCCCACTACCCACCGTATAATTAGTCCAGTCTCCTCCATTCTCCACCCAACCCACAAGTGACCGTGCTAATACGTTCTACCGAATATTCTCGACTATTCGTCATGAAATCCCGTATGCGTAGCATCTCTCTATTCGTAGATAACGCAAAAATGCTGAAAACCGAGCCAATTCCATGCCTTCGCTGCGGCAACATCGGATCACCGTCAGGGTAAGGGTTGAAAATATCACCAAGTTGCAAGAATAAACCGCTTCTCGAGTCAAAATGTTGGTGAAAATAAGCCAATTTCATAATAAAGTTGTACTGAATACAGTAGTCATTTTTTGGAACTTTGTTTTTGGTGGTTGGTGAAAGTTCGTTTGGTAGTTGGACCAAGTCTCTTATTTTCAGCAGTCTACCACTTTCATTGCACAAAGTCTCATCTATCAATCGCTCTTTTGCTGGGACAAATCCAGGAAGTCGGGGAGAGTCATCGCTAGAGCTCGAAGCTATAGGTAAGCTTCCTTGTCAACAACATGTTTTCCAAAAGTTGAATCTGTTTATTTTCTTATTCTTATCTTTATTTTTAGCGGCTGTTCATGAGCTATCATTTGCCGTGCAATCAATCAGTGTCTCCGAAATGCTTCCTCGTACTTCCGACCTTATCTTTGTAAACCTTACAACCATCGAAGGTTAGTCGTGGACTTGTTACAGTATGCCTACAATAACAATATTATTGTTTTAAGAGCAACCATTCTGCTTGGAACTAACGCATAAAGGCTGGCGTATCACCTCACTCCGTCTCGACTGCATGGTTGGCGACTTCACCCGCCTCGAGCTGTTCACCAAGTACTATGACTCGTTGTTTTCGCTAATGGACACGATATCACCCGGTTATCGTGCCCGATTTGGCGAAAAACTAGCGCTCAGATTGAAAATGCTTGAGGTAGGTCTACTTGACAAAATATTTTTGCATAACATACTCTGCAAAAAAGTGCTATTTGTAGAGATCACACACAATAAACAAAGCGTACAGATAGCGTTCACGTGATAGCGCACAAGTTTTCCTTGGAGGTTATAATTAGACGTCATGTGTGATATGTGCGCACAAAGAGAAAGGAATGTGGACTGGGCTTGATGATCTTTTAGTCTTTGATTTGACGGTCAGCACGGTGTTGATCTTATCGTAGTCTGCTGTAGATAGTGTTGTGATGACGAAGTGCGCAAACTTGCAGATGAAACTGATGCAAACATATGGCTTAAACTTTGTAGGGCGAATTGGACGTGTCTTCGCGCGTGTTTAGCTCCACCCATGCTTAAATGTACTACCGTTTACGCAACTTGAATGCCTAAACAGTAAAAAAGCTCTGAGCATCGGATGTGGGATGTCTCACTTATTAGCACCGATATTTTAGTAGCGACCTTACAAGGTAAGGGTACTTGGTGACCGTGGCTTTTTGTAACGAGACACATCATTTAATGCGTCATCAAATGCTGGTGCAAACATGCCTTCGCTATCTGCTGCACGACTATTTGAAAGTACAGATTACCTAAGCTCAATGGAATTGTAGTCTCCTTCAAATTTGTTGCGAGGAGCGAAACAAAAAATTTGAAGAGATGATAAAAGTTTTGCTCGATGGCGAATTTTTTTTTGGAAAAAAACGTTCATAACTTAGAATATAGCTTGGCAGATGGCGAAAACAGATTCGAAATCATTGTTTTGCTATGCATTTAATGTTATGTGTCCCACCACGAATGGCCAAGGTCACTCACCCGCTATCCTTTCCTTGCTGGAATTAACAATACCCAGAAATCTGCAAAAAGGTAAAATTCTGCAGCACAAGTATACAAATTCTTAAAAGATAATTTTTCTCAATCTTTCCAACTGCGCAAACCTCTCTTTACATTAAATTTTCTACTCTGCAATTTTCAATAATCAAAGTAAGGAAGTTTTAGAACGGTGATGAATCCGGAATCGCACCATGTGGTAGCTATGCATCGCCTTCCTTGAGTCGCGGCTCGTCTCAATCCTCCTTCGAATCTTTACCAGATGTGACTCCTACAAACACTCCGGCAGTGAAGTTCAGCGCCAAAATGAATGCGTTGAAATGCTAATGCTTGCCTTCTTTTCTGTCGCTTATTTTTTCTTGTAACGGGTTGTCGGATTAAATCCGCTTGATTCACCTAGTCACAGTATGATGTGTTGTTGTTTCCAACAATGGGCCGCACTCAAAAGGCACGTGGCTCTTTCTTACGTGTATATGCTATGCTTTGTATGCATCGGCAGCGACTTGATCTGTGCTCACGGCTTCAGTGGCTTCCTGAGTTGATATTTGTGGTGACATTTGCGCATTCATGCGCATTTTTACAGGTCTTGATGATTATATCTTGAGTTTATTTCGTGATAAGGCTATGAGTGTGTTCTGTTCTTTTCTTCCACATTGGAGCCTAGGTTGAGTGCATTCGTCTAGCTGTTGAGATCTTCTATACTTCGCATTCATTGTTTTGACTCTTGTTTCAGTGCTTTGTTTTTCCTAAATTTTTTCATTTTTTTGGGATTAGATGAGAGGCCAGTGTTTATTGTTATTCTAAATTCTCTGACAATTATTTGTTCCCCCTAGCGATTATAAAAAATGAACCATCTCAAGTTAGCTATATATCGTTAGGTCTTTATGTATATCATTGTGCTTCTGTGTCTTATCTTCTTGTGAATCGTCATTTATAGCGTTTATACAAGAATTTTTGGACATATTCGAGCACATTATAAAGTATCCGTGATGCCAGTGTTCATTCGCGCAAAGCAATGCTTCTGTATGCAGCACATTTTAGAAGTTCAGGCTCAATATCCAGACCGATTTCGAACCATAAAAATCGTGACTTGGGCAATTAGTCAAAAACCACGATGGCGGAAGAAATAGAGAAATACTAATCCATCTCATTGTAAGAATAATCAGTTATAGGCAAGTAAGACTTCGTATGTTTCTGCTAGACAGAGAAAGAACATTCATTGTACTCCTTGTGATTGTACATACAATCGGATTAGTTGTAGAAGCATCTATTGATGTATACTATTTTTGATATTTTCACCTGATACTGCACAGTCAGATACATCACTAGTTCAAACGGCTAATATCAAAGTCAAGCCAACGTTTAAATACTCACAGTCATGAGAACTTGTTAGTGGACGAGTGGTTATCAACCAAATAATTAATGACTTGGAGGCTTAGTGAAAGTGTAATTTACAGAATGAATGTGGGTGATGTAATATGTGAGCAACCGATGTGTCGTAATCACATATACCAAACCGAGATTTTGTGATGTGTGAGCATATAAAAAAGTTTAGGATGTAGTAGGTTGAAAATAACACATGATGAAGGCAAAAATTCAAAGCGCACCTGTGCCATGACTGATTTTTCGTGTAATCGCATATAATGGAGTGCAAATGCGTAATGCCACACAGAGTCGTTTATACACTACTTGTTCACTTCAGTGATTTCGAATCGCATCTTCTGTAAAAAAATAAGTAATATTTGAGAACCAAAGCGGGTTTCAAGAACAAAAAGAGTTGACAACAGTATCAAGTTGATGTGAACAGTAAACAATATTGGAAGGAATTACTGAAGCAGATTTTCCACGTTTCCATTCAGGGCTGGTGGGTTCTACATACAGGTTCCAGTGGGTCAACGACTTTATAGGGTCACTGACGGTATAATCAGCTATGATTTTACGACACGAACTTATTGAACGTTCAAAGACTGATGAAAAAAGAGCTGTTTACTTGAAACAAACAATAAAGTAAGCAAGTATAGAGAGTGTTGCTTGCTACCATCTGACTACGTCATCAAGAAATGTACCAATCGAATCAAAGCAGGACTTCATACAATTCAAATATGTTAGAAATTGTGACCTAGCCCTTGCGCGCGAGATTGTTCTGGACTATGGTGGCACAGATCTTTCCATTTTACTTCGTGCTCAACCTCGGCTATTGCCTCCGTAGGTGTCGAAAACGTGGTTGCATCGTCCGCTATGTAGTACCAAGCAAAGAAGGTACCTGATCAACTTTGTAGTAGTATTAGGAATCAGAACTCATTTATTTGTCTATGCGAAGTCGTGAGGTGTTCTTATCTACCAGACAATGCTGCGGAATTTTGAATCCGACGACGGTGCATCTTCGCAATTACCAATCACTTCAAGCCACGCGGATTCATCGTCGCAGTGCTCGCTTGAATTAAACGCGCACCCGACTGACACGCATTGATCTGGACAGAGAGAGCTGATATAGATTTTCACAAGTAATGAAATTTGATAACAACCAAAGCCCATATTCAATCTAGTTGTGAGGCATGTATATCTGCTCAGATGGAAGTGGGCACATCATTAATTGCAACGATTGAGAAGAGATGTCCATCGAGATATAGAGTAATATACGTGGTTTTTTGAATAGAAAGAAATACATGCAATTTCAAATGGTTGGATTTGGGGATTAGAGTACAACCGTGTATGTGATTTCTAAGTGCCACTTCAGCAGTAGTTCCCAAGAACGTGCAAAATGAAATGAAGTATGGCGGAGATTTGCAGACTCGATAGATCAATTATCAACTCTATCTCGGAGCACCAACATTTTTTGCAAAAAACGACGTTGCCACCCTCCACATCTTACGCAGTCGACATATTTTGCAAATTATGCAAACATCCGCACATCATGTATAAATTGGATAAGTATCGTCTTCATGATTAGTAAATTCCCCCATACCCATCTCTTGTACATGCTGTCTGCGAGTAAGTCTAGCGATGTAAATGATCGCTTTAGTGATGTTCGTTTAATCATATCTATTGCGATCTTCGTAAATAACTCAATTCATACTCCAATCCATGTTGAGCACAAGAGGGTTTAGCGAGATTTTTGCAGCTTGTTGTACCATATAATCTGCAGCATATGTACCGTAGTGTTATACGCGTTCGTTTCGAACAGGTACCCAATTCTAGCAGGTCCTTCTCATCTGACGTAAGAAATCAAGAAAATATCCTACAAGCTGGCTTCTGCCAAATTATGTAGTCGAATCATCAAGACCTTTAAAGCCATTTAGGAAGTGTATGTCGATCTCTAAAAAAGGATTTCTATTAATACAGGGTGTCCCAAATGTGTAAACATTTTTCAATCGCTAGTATCTCTATTCCCATTGTGTCTTTTTCCGCCATTCAAGTGCTACTCTGTAGAGGATGTTTCATCTTAGACTTACAGTATCGAGCGAATCACCGCTCACTCTTCATTACTGTAAGATTACTGTAGGAACTTCGACAAGAATCTCAGACCATTGGAAGCCATATTTTGCCTCGGAACAAAATCAAACAAGCCCTGAACTGTTATAATAGGGTAATGGAAGCCGATAATTACGAATATGAAATTCCTACTTTACTGTGATGCTCCTTTCCAAAGTTATCCCAGGTAACATAATAACCAAATTACCAGTATTTGTCAGAAATGTGAGTACACCGTCACAAAAGCTGAAAACACTCGTAAGAAGTTGTACAGTGGAATCAGCGTGCGCGAAACCCTAGTACACAATTTTACAGATTTTTTGAAAAAATTTTGTCAAATGGCATATTTTATCATGGTTTCAAACGCTGGAAGCTCTTACCGTAATCTAACAGTAGTGAAGAGCGACCAGTGATTCGCTCGATACTGTAAATCTAAGTTGAAGCCTCCTCTACAGAATGGTACTTGACTGGCGAAAAAGACCCATTGGAAAGAGAGATATTGACGATTGAAAAGTGTGTACTTACTTTTGGTACACTCTGTAGAAGTAAACCATAGAATGACATTTACACATGTTTCTTGGGTGTACAACTATTGCTCGCTATATCATACGGTGCAAGTTAATCACAGAATTGAGTGTACAATCATTGCTTGCTATGCATACGGTGCAAGACAACCACAGACAAGGCTGGTCTTTCAGGCGTAAAGATGTTACAATGGAGCTGTGGCAAGACCCAGAACTCAGGCACAGCTTAGCAAAATAGTTTTACCCTAATTACTTTTGTCTCAAGAGGTCCCCAAACGAAAACTATGCCAATATTTTGCAGATCGCTTATCGACCAGCAATGGCAGAGCAATTCTTATGGACGTGGTTTTTTGCATTGGAAATTTAGCACATTACACGCATAATTGTTGTTTAAGTTCGCACAATCTCTTACAATATCTTCTTATCTAAATTTATCGAGTTATAAATAAACTTCAGTCAGTTTGGTTGCAGTGATTTTGATTTGCTATTCCCCTTACATGACTTCCAAGACCAAGACGGTTTTCCTTTACTCACACATGTGATGGCAACTAATTTTTTTTGCCACAATATGGCTTCTTTGTGCACTGTGTTTCACATTTTTGTATTCGTGCTTCGCCTTTTTGTATTAAAACAAAATCTTGACCTTTTTAACCGTGTTTATGCTTTGCATGCTGCCTACCCCATGTAGTATATCTGAAAGTCTAGAAATCTGCTACTTTCGAATCCCTTCACTCATTCTTAGTTTGTTATTCGTAATTGCAAGAATGATCATTCAAATTTCGTTACTGTAGTGCTACCATGGACACTTTCGCTTCGTACATTTTAACAGTAGGACATTACGGACATATGTTCATAATGTGCTAAGATATGCATAATTAGTTCTTGCATAAATGCTATAAATGAACAGCAACTTATGAAGCACAATGATATATGGACCTAACGAAATAAAATAACCTAGTTTGAGATATGAGTCAAATTCTCATAAAACCTAGGAAGTATTGTTGAAGCAATTAACAATGAAAACTGGCGATTCAACTAAACCCCAAAAGAAGCAAGGATGAAATAGTAGAAAAACACGGAATTAAGGAGTGATGACACTAAATGTGGGATAAAAAAATCTCAATAGTCAAGCTGTCGCACTTAATCTACGCTCCAGTCTTAAAAAAGAACAAAACACTATCACTTGTCTTTCCACGTACTGAAGTATAGACTATATTATCTAAAAATTGGAAAGCGCAAGACTGCGCTTCAAAGAACCATGAGTTTGAAGTCAAGAAGTCACTGAAACCGTGAGCACAGATCAAGTCGCTGCCAATGCATATAAATCATAGCTTATACACGTAAAAGAAAAAGGAAAGACACACTTTAAGCGCGTCTTTCTGCTCATAACAATACCATATCCTACTGTGACTAGATATCAAGCGGATTCGTAATCCGACGACCCGTTGAAAAAACAATAAGCGATAGGGAAGGCGAAAGCCAGCATCAGCACTTCTGCGCATTCATTTTGACATTAAACTTTACTGCAGGAGTATTCGTTGGTGTAACGTCCGGTAAGGAGCCGAAGGAGCACTGAGACGAGTCGCGACTCAATGGGAGAGATGCATAGCTACCACATGGTGCAGCTCCGGACTCGTCACCGTTCTGAAACATGAAGAAGTTAGTGACTGGATAACAGCAGACCAGGGAAGTTTTGCACTGATCGCGTGAGTTTTCAAAGTTCGTTGATTTGTGATCTTTGTTAGTTTCAACCTCTAAGTTGATAGCTGGTCGTAATTGAGCAGCTCCATGAAATAAAGCTAATTGTAAGTGTCATCCACGCACACGCTGATCGCTTCCTACAGAGTCCATGTTTGCGTGACACAATCGCAGGTCACTAACAACCAAACATTGCGAAAATTGCACAAAATTATGTGGTCTTCCACCAAGTGTTTATCGTATGTTTGCAACATCTGCACTTACACGCGTCACTCCTTCACTACCGCTACATAAAGCAAATTAATCTCATCAAATTATGATAAGATCATTACGTGCTGATTTACAAATCAGAGACTAAAGAATTATCACGCGCAAACTCCCAAACTACCTTCTCTCTATCGTGCGCACATGTCGCACATGACGTCTAATTATAACTTCCTGTCAAGGAAGATTGTGGGCTGTCACGTAAACGGCAGCTATCTAGCTTTGCTGTATGCGATCGCGCTACCATACTTGCAGAGCATATAGGAATATAATTTAATAGACTCACCTCAAGCATTTTCAGTCTTAGCGCTAGCTTCTCGCCAAATCGTGCACGATAACCGGGTGATATCGTGTCCATTAGCGAAAATAATGAGTCATAGTACTTGGTGAACAGCTCGAGGCGAGTAAAGTCGCCAACCATACAGTCGAGACGGAGAGAGGTGATACGCCAACCTTTGTGAGTTAGTTCCAAGCAGAATGGTTGCTCTGAAATGACAAGTTCTTCCATTGCAAGCCTCGTGTATAACTCTCTAACTAACCTTCGATGGTTGTGAGGTTCACAAAGATGAGGTCGGGAGTACGAGGAAGCATTTCGGAGACACTGATTGATTGCACGGCAAATGATAGCTCATGAACAGCCGCTAAACATATCAAGAATAATATTAGGAATAAACAAACTGAACTACTGGGAAACTACTGGAAAACAAGATGTTGACAAGGAAGCTTACCTATAGCTTCGAGCTCCAGCGATGAATCTCCACGACTTCCTGGATTTGTCCCAGCGAAAGAGCGATTGATAGAGGAAACTTTGTGCAAAGAAAACGGTAGACTGCTGAAAACAAGAGATTTGGTACCAATATTAGCAACCACCAAAAATTTCCAAATCGATGATGTGTTTATAATTATTTTGTTATCTTAGCTTATTTTCACCAACATTTTGAACTGTGAGGCAGTTTCTATTTAACAGCTTACATGCAATATTCCTTACCCTGATGGCGATCCGATGTTGCCACAGCGGAAACATGGGATTGGCTCAGTTTTCAGCATTTTTGCGTTATCTGCGAAAAGCGAGATGCTACACATACGAGGTCTCATGACGAACACTCGAGAATCGGTAGAAGGTTCTAGCGCGATCACTTGTGGGTTGGGTGGAGAATGGAGGAGAGACCTAATTGTATTATACTAAAGGGAATAGGGCGGGACGATCAAAGAACTACAACATGATACACGATAGATTACCTCGGAGTGTAAATGGGGGTGTATGGAGAAATAAGAAAGGGATCAAGCTGGCCAAATCTGAGAGATAAGGAGCGAAGGTAATTGCTCAAAAGTCTGATGATCAACATCAAAGAATCTTTCACCTATGGGAAAAATTCGACTCCGGTAGAATATCTATACTAGAAGGCATCTACATCAGTGCCCACATAAGATTTCGGTCATGTGTTCCTAACTGGCTTCCAATCAGAATGTACTATGTGCATTTTCACGTGGAGTTAGGCTGAACGCACGCTTTTTTGCACACACCAGCTGCTGACATTGGAATATGTATTCATCAAGGCCACATTTGCACCTGAAGCGGGGTGATACGCCCTTGCACGGACCAAACAGAGTGCAAACTGTTAAAATGGTCACGTGTGATTGTTTTCGCTGCTATACACACAATGCGGAGAAGTTCTTATCGCAGCGTAGTACAAAGACTTATATCATCAGCATGGGGGTCTGATGATGTTCTGCAGAAAAATTTGTGAACGAGAGCCTTTTGCAAAAAAGTAGCAGTCATGAGGTAACGAGCACCAAGCATTTGTTCGTAGCTTCCTCAAAGAACATTGATAAGAAAAATTAACCACAAATAGGCCAGCCAGTGATCCCCGAGAAGAAGAAGCTTGGCGAGGAAAACGAACACTTTCTAATGGCATTCATATCAAGCGTGATGCAGATTCTAGTCTACACTATGATAACGAAACCCTTTTTGCAAAAAAGTAGCAGCGGACCATTGTAGCATTCACCCTGCTTTCATAGACTCTTACCAACGTTCTGGAAAATTCATTGTTGATGGGAGAATTATAAATGAGGATCTAGTGAATTCTGATGCTAGGAACCAGATTTTTGCCTCTCATAGTTACCGGCATCAGAAGTAAGTTTCTAAACTTTCTGATGACTTGGACATAATATTGCATTTTTGTAGAAGTTTATTTGAGAACGGGGAATGGAGGCGTTTAGCTATCAGGTGTTATCCTAAGGTTGTTCCCTAGAACTACCGTAATGGAATGAATCCAACAAGTGACCATACTAAACTCCATTTCCTTTCTTTTAAACAAAATATTTAATCACTCCAAACATTGCATTATAGCTGCATGTTGTCCTCGCTGAACTCTAACAACATTCACTCTTTTTAAATCTCATGAGTCTGGATTTTCACGCACACTCTATGCAGCTGTCTTCAGGCAGATGCAAGTGAACTTTTTTCTGCTTGCTAACTTATGCTCGCTCGTTCAGTGGACACGGAAACAATCCAAGTCCCGCGGGTATAATTGGTCACATCAGAATTACCGACTCACTAACTTCCGGTTAGAAAACAAGCAGATGGAATACGCGCGATGAGCGAGCGAGTTGACAAACGACCTGACAGAGCTAGGGGCAAAGAAACTGGCACATGTTACGATGACGATGATAACAGCAATGATGTCAGTGACAGAAATAAGCAGTTATGACGTTCGTGTCATCGCCAGTGGCATCATATCAGTTTTCTACAAAAAAAATAACAAAAAATTACCATTGTGGTAAAATCTGACAATGACTACGGCCCAGCCGGATTCTTATAATTTCAACCCTACGGGTTGTTTCCAAATTCTCCCACATTAAGGGATTTTTCACATCCGCTCCAAGTTAATCATTTACCTCAAAAAATTCTCATGTTGATGTTAATTGGTTTAGAGGACTTCACATAAGACAGTCGCTACAGTAGCCACAATATTTTTTGTTTTCCGTACAAACAATGTTGTGCACTCGATGGATACTACTGATAACAGTCAATCTGATTAGACGAAAACTGGTTTTTTCAGTGATAGAATTAGCCGCTGTTGAACTCTCATTCGACGTCAGAGCTGAGACTGCAAACTACAAAGAACGCGCGTAGGATGGCAGAAGAAAAGAAAAAACTATCCATAGTTTATTTTCTTGGCTCAATTATGTAGTATAGCAAGCTCTGCGATTGTTGCTACTGTAGTATCAATAAAGTAATTGACTTTTATCTATTTTATGCTAACAAGGGAAGCGTGTTTAGTCGGAGTGGCCTTTTCAGATGAGACCCATACTGCTTTAAAGAGTACTGCACGTTGATTCCAAATCTGCCTTCCAAATCTGCCAAGCGCCTCTGGACGCCGAGTTATGGCCGTTTTTTGGAACGAAAAATTAATGCAGATTTTGGGTAAAATGGATTTTTATAATCTTTACAGCGCTCACATAAAGCAATGTTTAGTATTAGCATATTAGACAAAATGTATCCATTGCATAAACGGCTTTGATACTTGACATTGGACCATTTGAGCAGATTTAGGCGATTTTGTTCCAGTTTTACATTCGATTTTTTGACCTGAAAAACGCCCATAACTCGGCACCAGAAGCGCTTGGCAGATTTGGAAGGCAGATTGAAATCGCTTAATGCTCTTCAAAGCAGTATGGGTCTCATCTAAGAAGGCCACTTCAACTACACACGTTGCCTTTGTAAGATTTCGTCTTATTTGCTTCCAAACCCAACAACATTAGATTGCAGCGACGCGGTTGCCATGCGTAAGTAGTTCGACTTCTTCAGTGAACTGCTTATTTACTGCATATGACCATCGTCATCGCAAAAGCAACCACGAGACCTCATTAATCAGCAAAACAATATACTGTTGTAAGAATGACAGCATTGCTTCGGAAAACAGTTTGCACTGAATAGGTGGTTGCTAGGAAGCCTTTTTACAGGCGCAATGACTCACAAGGAGATGATACTTAGTCGAAAGCACCAATCCAGAAGAGACATATATCATCTGGACGTGCTTGGAGCGCTGATTTCAAATCTGGCAGAATCAGCTGCGGAGCGCCTTTGGGCAATGAGTTATGGTTGTTTTTGTGAAGAAAATTTGAAGTCGAGGGAAGAAAAAAACTATACGCAGAAGTCTTCAGTTGGTCTCGAATGGAGGAGTGATGTTTGCCAGATTACTCTGCGCAAAGAAAAATGTCTGTCTGCTATACTCACATTTAGAACGAGTTTATCTGCGAAATATACATGTTGTAACAATCAATTTTACTCTCTTTACCCATTCAATTTTTGGCTCTTGAAACGGTCATAGCTCCTCACCCAAAGGCGCTCCGCAGCTGATTTTGCCAGATTTGAAATCAGCGCTCCGAGCAGGTTACGATGATGTATTTCTCATCTGGATCGGTGCTTTCGACTAAGTATCCTCTTCTTGTCAGGTACGAGATCTTGGCATGTCAGACAAGTTTTTCAATGCTTTTCAGAGAAAAAGATAAGGGATCCAATGACTTTGTAAGAAATGGGAGTAGTGGCTCCTGGCAGAATCAACACAAGCATATGAACTTTGCTCTTGATAAGGTCGGCATTTCACTTTGTCCTCGAAACTATGCCCTTTAACGCAACTAATCTTTGCGCTTTCGTACAGCTGACTTTAAGAATTGCTCCGAGTACAGTGGGAAACAATAATCACTTCACGATGAGGTTTCGAAAGAGAAGAAGATCAAATACAGTGAATTGAGAGAAGGGGAGAGCTGTGAAGTTCGACATTAATTTTCTCTACGCCTCTTTGCACAAGAAGACCTGAGCCATCTGTTCCATATAATCAAGATATCCAGTATAAAAATATTATGGAAGATGAACTAAACGATGTCTCTTTAGGTCTGCGATACTCTTAATTCACTTGATCCGCACGGTCCACTCTATTGGTCTAATCAATGAACTGACCAATAGGGAAGCGGATGTCCGCTTGATCCAATTAATACAGCTGATACGCTTTGCCATTGGTCAGGCTCACTGATTTAATTAGTAGCGAAGTGGATGAAGTAGATCAAACGGACATCTGCTTGCCATTGGACAGCTGAACGATCTGACCAAAAGCCAAGCGGATGAAGTGGATCGCGCGGAAAAAGTGCCTTAAAGGCAGTGGACCAGCAGAATGGACCCTTCTTGCATTTTGGTGGATCTAGGTAGTAGACCCCCAAGTACATTGTACCCCAAACCCCGTCCTGAAAAAGCGCTTTAAAACTCCACCGGCCTTGCCCCTTTCCATTGAGTGGGCGGAGCTGGTGGAGTTTTGAAGCGCATTTTTCAGGACTTAGCGCATGGATTGGCAAGTGGGGTTTGGGCTACAGTGTACTTGGGGGTCTACTACCCAAATCCATCCAAATTCGAGAAGGGTCTATTCTGCTGCTCCACTGCCTTTAAGTGATGATACGATATGATCGTAGCGATAGTAAGATTGCTGAGAATGAAATGGTCATGATTATTAGCTATGTACATGACCTTATCCAAGCTTTGAAGAAGGACACGCTTTTTCCACTCAGCAAAAGGATAAAAGATCAGAGTTATGGCCGAAGCTAAGAGATAAACACAACTACGTGAAATAAGAACCCTCAGATCCTTTTCAGGCAAGGAAGAGAGTGTTGCTAACGTCAGATGACGTCTGTGTACCTCAAGCGCTCGTCACTCTCTTTCTGTTCCTTAAATAGCAAAGAATTCAGGCACCAACCGGAAGCGTGAATCAGAGAACGAGAACGCCTTAGCTTTTTGTGCTTCTCGCCATTTTCAATCAGACACAGGGCAAACAATATGAT